GGACCATTAATGCCATGGTTGGATGCCTTATAGAAACACTTGCTTGTTTGTAGACGGGTTAAGTCTCGGCACAGACAATTCTTGTAAACTTCTAGAAAGGCATCAAAATCATGTGCTTAATCCTTACAGTCCATCTTTATCCTCCGATTAACTTGCTATTGACACGGGAGTTAATTGAGTCATACAGCACAAACATAATAAACTGGATAATCAATTACATGTTCTAATCCTCGAGCTAAAGGGTGGCTGTTACTTTTTGAGAATCTTATATTTTGTCTAGAAAACTCTTGAAAAGAATCTTCTATTCTAATCAAGAAAACCCCACCACTCTAAACACGCAAAATTTTCAAAAGTTACTTGGTCTCTATTACTGCTTGCTTCAAAACACCACTCATAGCTCCCTGTGGATTCGACTCCGGACTTCACCGGATTATTACTACAGCTTGACTACCTGCACTTGGGTGTACACATTTCGGACAAAGACANCATTTTCAGCATTGCTTCTAATGGCTGAATTGTCTCAACTAATTGGTGGCCGCAAGAAAATCATAAACATAAATATAAAACATAAAATAACTAATCATACATGTGAATTATAAGAACTACTGAACCAGTTCACCAGAAAGTTAAAAGTTCCTATCAAAACCATATCTCCTGATAATAGGTTTCAGAAGCATTTACAGCTTGGATTCCAGCCTAATTGTGCAACTAGGGAATAAGCCACATTGTAATTAAAGGCTGCCAAATTTGATCCAAATCAGATGAGATTGACCAATCCAAGGATGAAAAGAAGATGAGATAAGCTAGTATAGTACCAAGCAAACAAAAGTGTGAAATAGGCTGAGAATGTAGCTAATGTTTTAGTTGATAGATACCAACATACCCAGCTTGCCAAATGCTAACATTTTCTCATGAACATGGCAAATGTTAAGCATGCAGAGACACAAACTCTAGTTAGAACTCAGGAGCCTCATCAAAATCCCACAAAGCGACAGTAGCTTTCAAGACAACTGACCCACTATCCCTCCAATCCTAAGGTACTATCCACTTAACAAACTACTACCACAAAAAACTAAAAAAATGTCGGATCCTGTGATGTATTAAGGGTCGTGGGTCAAAATGGAACTGCACCATTATCAGCATTTTCAAGCTTGAAACCATGGATCTTAAATGGACAAACATCTCATTTAAGAGAGACTAAAAAAAGGAATGCATTGATGATAAGCACACAAATCCAAAATAGATGGATGCAGATTTTTGATGTCCCCAGCAAGAACAAATTACCTCAGGAGCTTGTTTCTCAGAACCTAAAGCTTCTTGTGGTTTTGGATTTTGGTTTCCAGAAAAGCCAAAAACCTGCGATGGACCAGATACAGTAGAAACGTTTACATCTGGCCCCAAGAAAGTGTTCCTCCTTCCATCCTCTAATTTCACCAGTTTTGAAGGGCGCTTCATTTGATCTGAACTGTCATGGACCATGTCTGCTTTCTCCGTTATGTCTGAAGACAAGCTGGGATACGTATCAACTCTATGGCTCAAAGTTGAATCATTAATAACTTGAGGAGGTCTATTAGAGTCCTGTGTAATGGCAGATAACATTGAGGAGCTAGTCTGTTAACAGAAAGAAATAAAGAACATCAATTTTGAGTGTTATTAAAGAAATGACTTTTGCAAAGTAAAGTAATGTGTCTCAAAAAAAAGTAAAGTACTGAAATAATTATCTACCAGGACAAACAATTTCTACAGCCACAAGCTGGTACATGTTCTCGGCAAAAGCAAAGTTTGTATGAGTTTCAGTTTCAACTTATGTGAAGAATATGATATTCTATATTCCTATTTACAGCCACTTCTGGTTTAAATTCTAGTCTGTTACTAATGAAATCAGAGATGCAACACCTTTTCTTCCAGGAAAAAGAAATCAACTGAGTTGAAAGAATGCTTTATAGTTTTACACAAGTTAGCCCAAGGACAACAGCATCCTTCAACCAGACACCTACGTTTGGCCATTTCCCTTATTTTGTATCATGGTTCAAGGTTGTAGTATCGGCCATCAATTCAANTATTCCTATTTACAGCCACTTCTGGTTTAAATTCTAGTCTGTTACTAATGAAATCAGAGATGCAACACCTTTTCTTCCAGGAAAAAGAAATCAACTGAGTTGAAAGAATGCTTTATAGTTTTACACAAGTTAGCCCAAGGACAACAGCATCCTTCAACCAGACACCTACGTTTGGCCATTTCCCTTATTTTGTATCATGGTTCAAGGTTGCAGTATCGGCCATCAATTCAAAGAGTTCTGAGCCACATCGGTCACAGTGTCACGTCACGTCACGGTATCGGACTATACGACCTAGAAAATATTGAACATGACAAGAGATTCAGTTTATATCGCGGCGTTGCGGAAGCATATCGGTCGATACTCGGGATCGNACGTCACGGTATCGGACTATACGACCTAGAAAATATTGAACATGACAAGAGATTCAGATTATATCGCGGCGTTGCGGAAGCATATCGGTCGATACTCGGGATCAACTCAAACAACTAGACTAAGTCATGCGAGACTCGAGATTTATACGTATTGTGTAACGGTATCGTCGCGGAAGGTGTCAAGTCAAATACGACTCAGTCGATTCGTGTCGATATCGGCCGATACCTTGAACCATGTTTTGTATACTAACAGACAGTAAGTTTTGGCACCTGAAAACTTGATCTGACATTAGTGGAGGAATCAAAAGAGAAGGTTGAAGGGGTGCATTTGGACCAACCAGCTGAGCATTATGCCCCAAAGGGCAATGTAACAGAGGTTCCACTTCCTGCTTCAAAGAAGTGGAATTTGCCACTTGAATTTGGGACCTAACAGAGAGATTGCCCAACTGCTGTGTACGAGTTGATGGAATGGTTGAAACTACAGACTGCCCAGGCAATGAGCCTTGCTGTAAAACTTGGTGCTGTGCAAGCTGTGGAAGCTGAATATGAGGCCATGTAGGAAGTTGTGAGAGATACTGATTTACTTGACCTTCTTGTGATTGAGGCATCACACCAAACTGCATCTTGCCCTGTAAAAGAGAGGGAAGCCCTGGAAGATTTTGGACTGCTGGCCACTGACCCTNGATACTGATTTACTTGACCTTCTTGTGATTGAGGCATCACACCAAACTGCATCTTGCTCTGTAAAAGAGAGGGAAGCCGTGGAAGATTTTGGACTGCTGGCCACTGACCCCGTTCACTATCTTGCAACGAACGCTTCAGAAGTGGAGCAGAAGCCTGTCGAATATTTTGCATCTGCAACTGCACAAATCAAAGAAATCAAATGAATATTTTTCAGACAATCTCATGTAATGGGCAACACAATATAGCATCATACAACAAAACTTTGGAGTAGCAGAACAAACCATTTGTGGGGTAACCATTCCTAACATTAACTGGGCCTGCAGTAAAGGCAAATACGAAGCTGTTAAATGCTGCAGGTGACAATGGCTACATCTAAAATTTTATCCTAATGAAACACAAACATGCCGAATAGATTCAAAAACTGATGATCCTAGGTGCGGGAGAATAGGAAACTTGGNAATCTCATGTAATGGGCAACACAATATAGCATCATACAACAAAACTTTGGAGTAGCAAAACAAACCATTTGTGGGGTAACCATTCCTAACATTATCTGGGCCTGCAGTAAAGGCAAATACGAAGCTGTTAAATGCTGCAGATGACAATGGCTACATCTAAAATTTTATCCTAATGAAACACAAACATACCGAATAGATTCAAAAACTGATGATCCTAGGTGCGGGAGAATAGGAAACTTGAGAACTCCAAAACTGCATTCAAACTCAAAATAGCATCCATCTAGGCAATCACCAAAACAAACGGACAAGCATCCTTTTCATAGCTCTAAATAAGACTAATATAAAACTACAATATAAGAGCATCGGACTGAAATGTGTGAGTGAGCACGTGAGATAGAAAGACTTTAAAACCTACGGAAACAAAAAAATNCGGACAAGCATCCTTTTCATAGCTCTAAATAAGACTAATATAAAACTACAATATAAGGGCATCGGACTGAAATGTGTGAGTGAGCACGTGAGATAGAAAGACTTTAAAACCTACTGAAACAAAAAAAATTATCTTTTTTTTTTCTCGTATAGGAAGAAGAAAATGAGAACTTTCACAGTGAAATTTTATATTAGACCCAACACTGGATCTCGACCATTTGGTATTACTAAGCTTACAAGAAGCAAATATTGAGATTTAGAAAAAGCACGGAACCTGTGGCAGAAGGGTATAAATGAGTTGAACCAGCATAATGAAAAAGCTAGCAAAGGGGCTTAAAAGCTCCTTATCAAACCTTCTCCTTTTCATAATAATAAATAAAGTCAGCATCAAAACCCATCAAACCCAACCTATACAAAGAGCTTTTTTTAATGAAAAAGACGGGCTTTCGATGTGGCAAAGGGAGTTTCATGGGCAAGTGCTACTACTTATAGAAGAATGGTAGCTAATAAAGAGCTACTATCAGCTTATCAACTATTGTAGTGTCATATTCCTATCCTTACTAAAAGAACTTAGGATTGCAATTACAGTATCCAACTCAACTACCAAGAACAATGGAAGCAGAAACTCCTATGTTACCGTTGTCGGAAAGGAAAGTCCATTATGTTCCAACCTAACAATCACTAAAGTGCTAATTACAAAAGGGATTTTCTTATAATAACCAGTGAATTCAAAGTTCTCTAAAAGACTTCCTTATGGTGCACTCTTTTCTGCAATAGATAGTAACCCGTAGTAGTTGCTTGGTCCTCTCCTGTGGCCAATAGGATGCAAATGTTGTTTAATCCTATAAAAGTCTTGGGACATTATCTAAATATAAGGAATCTTCAAATGAGGTACCGCAGAACTAGGACAGAGAATATGCTTATGTTTTTTGACCATCCTGATAGAAGCTTTTTTTCTAAAGAAGCTTTTGGCATCTGTTTGGGTTCTGGAACACAAGCTAACCCTTCTGCAACAAGAGTTGATGGTTATGTCAAAGCTTGATTCACATTGATATAATAACTCCCAAACTAGTGTAAGAACCTTGACAGTCTCTCTACTTAGTACTAGTCGATTCTGAGTTTGATGATTTAACTAGCTCTGATTCAATGTTAAACCACAACTCATTTCAAAACTAAAGTTGCCAGGTAATGAGCCTATCAGTGTGTATTTAGCTCTCATCATCTCCCCAATGTGTGAACACTCAAACATGGAGGCTACATATAACCAAGTGCATCGGCATCTAGACATTAGAACATGAACCTAGTGCATTGTTATTCACAAACTCAACATGGGTATCATATGCAGACAACCAATTTTTTTTATTTATTTTTTGATAGGAAACATATACTTTGTATTAATAGAAAATGAAAGGTACATAAAAAAGTTGGATCATAAATCACATGAAGCTCTCCAATCTAATAGAATAACAAAAAGTGAAATTCCTTAATTATCGATGTCAAAAAATACGTTAGAAAATAAGATCCCATAATCCTTCCATCCACTTGCTTCAATATTCAATTATTTTTGAAATTTCTTTCCTTCCAAATAACCCCAAATATAGCAAAAATAGCACAATACTAAAGAGTCATGCATTTATCAAGACTCCTAAAACCTTTCTAATCTTCAATTAACAAGGACACAGATATTTCACGAATCACCTAACTCATATCCGCCAAGCCAAACAACTTATTCCACAAGCGCATAACAACAAGGCAACGTAGAAATCAATGATAAATGCTTTCCAAAGCATATTTACACATCATACACCATTGTGGGGAAAGACAACAATGAGACATTCTTTTATGAAGCAAATCATTGGTGTTAATCTTATCATGTGCCATAGTCCATGCAAACACTTGCACTTTAATGAGCACCTTATCTCTCCATACCATGAAAGTTGGGGCAAAAATATGACAAGAAGAACCATTCACCAAAGAATCAAAGAAGGATTTACTAGAAAAGACACTCGAAGACTCGAACTCATTTTTTTTTGTCACACAACTCTCGATTAAATAAAGATAAAATCAAGGATATAAAGAAAAGCTATCAAATACCTAGTATCTCAATTATCTAGATTCCTACAAAAACCAAAGTCCTAAGAGTACAGATGATTATCAAACCGAAGCATAGGAAAAATGAATCAGCCACGAGAATCAAAAAATTGATAGAGATGAGGAAACAAACATGAAAAATATGACTCTCCAACCCATGCATTCTCTCCCCATTACCCACAACTAGATTTTGGAAAAACCTCGTCACTTCCTTGGATATAAACTTCCATGGGCACTAGAAACTTCCCCTTTCAACCTTATTAGCATCTCATCCATTGGCTTGTAATCAATATTTGTTCTTGATAACCAGCCACTTGACCACTAATGCAATATTTCTTGCCTTAAAATTTCCAATTGAAAAACCCATTTATCCATAACAGGTTAAATGGTCCTTCTTCCCCTACCCAGATCCTTTCCAACAAAACCAAAATGTTTAATACCATGTTACTTCAGTTATCCTTATCTAAAAGTTTAAGTTGATAAAAAACAAGCCCAACAATTTACATCTTGCTTTTAACACCTTACATAGTTCACTTATCATACATAAGTTTGCATGAGNTGGACATCTATTATTATCTCGCACAATAGCATTGTGATTATACTATATGAAACAAAAATTGGGACCTTGTTGATACAATTTTCCCACCTTCAAGTAGGATCTATGATAGAATTTCAGGCTAAGCAATAACATTAACAAGGCTGTGCACCTGTGTATCTAACTCAATTCCTCTCCACTCTCTTTCCGAGGCACTTTTATGCAACAAAGAGCAAATTTAACCCTTTTTCGGTCCTTTTGGTTATGAGTAAAAGAACGATGGAAAGTAAAAGTGATAGAAGGTGAAGTAACAAAAAGGAAAGTGAAAAGAAAATATATTTTCTTATGCGTGTTTGGTTATTATGGAAAATTTTGTGAGAAACTTTAAGACAATTTGTTGAAATTACTAAGGTGTCATTTGATAACCTCATGTTTTTGTTTTGTTGTTTTTTTTCATTTTATGGCAAAAAAAACAAAAAAACAAAAGCTTTTGGTCAATATTTTCGTTTTTTTTTAAATGTTCCGTTTTTAAAACAATGCTAAAATATGGAGACATCCAAAAATATTTTTTTGAAAAACATCCAAAAAAATAAAAAACAAACGCGCGGTTCAAAATGAAATTTAATGAGATCTTGACTTCGATCTTCGTTAGCAACAAAAAATAAATTTTTTTGCTTTAGTATAAAAAGTCCCCTCCCTCTTTCACTTTTTTTTTTTTCTAGATCCCTTTCTCTCTCTCTCGCCCTTCTCTGATGGGTTTTCTCGGGGGGAGGGGGTGTCTGGTGGGTTTTAAGGATGGTGGTGGATTTCTGGGGTGGGTAGTGGGTGGTGGTGGGGTTGGGTGGTGATGGGTTTCGGGGGTGGGTGGTTGGTTTTGCTAGAGGGTTTCAAGGGTGAGTTTCGAGAATGGTTGATGGGTTTTGCATGGGGGTTTGGGTGGTGGTGGATTTTCGGGGGTGGGTAGTAGATGGTGGTGGGTTTTAGAGGTGGTTGGTGGATTTTTGCAGGGGGTTGTGGGGGTGGATTTCGGGGGTGGGTGATGGGTTTTGCAATGGGGGTTGGGTGGTTGGTTTCGGGGGTGGATGATGGGTTTTGTATTGGGGGTTATGTGGTGAGTTTTAGGGGTGGTGGTGAGGTCAAGTGGTTAGTGGTTGTGGGTTTTCGTGGTGTTAGGTGGTGGATTTTTTTGTATGATATNTGGGGGTTATGTGGTGAGTTTTAGGGGTGGTGGTGAGGTCAAGTGGTTAGTGGTTGTGGGTTTTCGTGGTGTTAGGTGGTGGATTTTTTTTTATGATATCAAACATATTTTTTATTTTTGTTTTTATAATTTTTTAAATATAAATGACTACCAAACATGTTTTATATTTTTAGTTTTTATCACAAAAAAAAAAATAATAATAATTTTTTTTTAATAAAAAAAAAACATAAAAACGAAAACATTACCGAATGCACCCTAAATTGCCCATTTCGTATCAATCCAACTCCTCAGCTATGAGACCAAAATACAAACACTAAACTAATATAAAGTATATACCAATAGTTAAACATGTAAACATATTAAAAAACCAATAATTATAATCGATATATCTATTTTCCAGAGTGACCAGAGTATACAATTCAATCACACAACTTCCATATAGATCCAATAAAATCCCAAACATACAGCAACTCAAAAACAAAGTTTGGCGGTGCTCCTATACTGNTTCTGCAACAAGAGTTGATGGTTATGTCAAAGCTTGATTCACATTGATATAATAACTCCCAAACTAGTGTAAGAACCTTGACAGTCTCTCTACTTAGTACTAGTCGATTCTGAGTTTGATTATTTAACTAGCTCTGATACAATGTTAAACCACAACTCATTTCAAAACTAAAGTTGCCAGGTAATGAGCCTATCAGTGTGTATTTAGCTCTCATCATCTCCCCAATGTGTGAACACTCAAACATGGAGGCTACATATAACCAAGTGCATCGGCATCTAGACATTAGAACATGAACCTAGTGCATTGCTATTCACAAACTCAACATGGGTATCATATGCAGACAACCAATTTTTTTTATTTATTTTTTAATAGGAAACATATACTTTGTATTAATAGAAAATGAAAGGTACATAAAAAAGTTGGATCATAAATCACATGAAGCTCTCCAATCTAATAGAATAACAAAAAGTGAAATTCCTTAATTATCGATGTCAAAAAATACGTTAGAAAATAAGATCCCATAATCCTTCCATCCACTTTCTTCAATATTCAATTATTTTTGAAATTTCTTTCCTTCCAAATAACCCCAAATATAGCAAAAATAGCACAATACTAAAGAGTCATGCCTTTATCAAGATTCCTAAAACCTTTCTAATCTTCAATTAACAAGGATACAGATATTTCACGAATCACCTAACTCATATCCGCCAAGCCAAACAACTTATTCCACAAGCACATAACAACAAGGCAACATAGAAATCAATGATAAATGCTTTCCAAAGCATATTTACACATCATACACCATTGTGGGGAAAGACAACAATGAGACATTCTTTTATGAAGCAAATCATTGGTGTTAATCTTATCATGTGCCATAGTCCATGCAAACACTTGCACTTTAATGAGCACCTTATCTCTCCATATCATGAAAGTTGGGGCAAAAATATGACAAGAAGAACCATTCACCAAAGAATCAAAGAAGGATTTACTAGAAAAGACACTCGAAGACTCGAACTCATTTTTTTTTGTCACACAACTCTCGATTAAATAAAGATAAAATCAAGGATAT